AACATGTCAGATAACATTAAGAAATCACAAATAAATGAGGCTTCGCTGGCTATCATCAAAACACGTTATATTTAGAAATGCAGTTCATACTTAACTTCAACAGGCGAATTATATTGTTGAATTCTTTGAAGCCAAGAATCTCTGAAAGGTTAAATACTGATTCATATGCTTGATTCCCTTTCCTTCCATGTATTTATTGTTCTTTACATATGGGTAATTCAGTATCAGTGCTAGCATTTTGCATAGCTAGCTGGAGAATTCTGGGAGTTGAAGTCCACAAATCTTAAAGTTACCAAATTAGAGACCTCTGCTTTAAAATAAAGGTCCTAATATTCACAAATTTAAAACTATCTGTAGTAGGCAAACTATTAAAGCTTTAGAAGATGACTATAAAAAACTGGAAAAAGAATTGCAGAATATGCCACAGAAAAAAGATATTAAATTCAAAATGGATATAATTAAACACAAGATGGGTCAGGCGGAGAAAGAGGAGTTGGCACAAAAAATTAGAAGTGCTAAACAGAACTATTTTGAAGATGCAAATAAACCAGGTAGATGGCTAGCATACAAATTGAGAAAGGAGAAAGAATCTAGGATAATAGTACAGTTAATAGATGATCAAGGTCAAATGTGTTATGGTAATAAGGAGAAAAAGATAATTATCCAAGACTTTTATGGACAATTATATAAACAGGAGGATTTTGATGAGGAAAGAATTAAGCTTTATCTACAAAATGCTAACCTACCCAAGATATCTGAAGAGACTGAAAAAATGTTAGAAAGTACCATAACAATGATGGAACTAACGGAAGCATTTAATAGGCAGAATAATGGAAAAGCACCAGGCCCAGATGGGCTCCCGGCAGAATTTTATAAAACATTACAAGAATCGTTGAGCACTCCATTGTTAGAAGTTATGAATGAAGCCATGTTAAATAAGAAAATACCTAAAACATGGTCAGAAGCTTATATCACACTTATTCCAAAAGAAGGGGCTGATCTATCACAAATTAAGAACTATAGACCTATTTCTTTACTGAATGCAGATTACAAAATCTTTGCTTCCATCTTGGCAGAAAGGCTCAAAAGATATCTAAATAACTTTATTCATCCTGACCAGAATGGATTCCTGCCAAGGAGACAAATTAGGGATAATATGAGGGTAATTCTGGACACTTTGGAATATTACGAGGCACACCCTGAAAAACAAATGGCTTTGGTATTTTTAGATGCCCAAAAAGCATTTGATAATGTGAATTGGAGATTCATGTTTTTGTTATTGGAACAGATGGGCTTTGCTAGAAAATTTATTCAAGCAATAGAAGCCATATATGATAAACAAACGGCAAGAGTGATGATAGAGGGAGATTTTACAGATTCTTTTAATATAAGAAAAGGCACAAGACAAGGTTGCCCATTATCACCTTTGTTATTTGCATTGACTTTGGAAGTGCTGAATAGAAACGTTAGAGAGGATCCAAATATAAAAGGAATGAAAATTAAGAAGGAGGAATTTAAATTGCAAGCCTTTGCGGATGACTTGGTTTTTATTTTGGAAGATCCTCTAGGAACAGCTTTAAAGCTACTGGAAAAGATAGAGATTTATGGTGAGATGGCCGGCTTGAAAATAAACAAAGATAAAACAAAGATCTTGACAAAGAATATGTTATTAAAACAAAGAGATGAATTGGCAGATTTATTGAAAATTCAAGTTACGAATAAGGTTAAATATCTGGGGATATATTTGACGTCAAGATGTACTACATTGAAAGAGAATAACTATATTAAACTTAAACAACAGATAGCATTTGATTTGAAAAAATGGGAAAATCTACAACTGTCATTGATAGGTAGAATCTCAGCAATCAAGATGAATATTTTACCCAGAATTTTATATTTATTCCAAACCATACCAATTAGGCTTGGTAAAGATTACTTTGAAGATTTAAATAAAATTGTGTTGAAGTTTATATGGCAAGGTAAGAAAGCCAGAATAAAATTAAAACTTCTGCAAGATGCTAGAATTAGAGGAGGTTTTGGCCTTCCGAATTGGGAGTTGTATTACCAAGCGGCAAATTTAATGTGGGTTAAGGATTGGATAACATTAAAAAAGACTAGATTGTTGACACTAGAGGGGCATGATTTATTACTGGGATGGCATGCTTTTCTGTGGTATAAGGGAACTAAATCGCAGGGCTATTTTAGAAGGCATTATATAAGGGAGTCTTTATGGTTGAATTGGGAGAAAATTAAGAGAAAATGTTATTTGAAAATCCCAGTCTGGTTATCAACTATTGAAGCCTTTTCTTATCCTATAATATATGAGAAGGAACAAACAGTTAGATATGGGGAAATATTGGATGAAAAGAGTGAACTTAAAACAATGCAAAAACTAGAAGAACAAGGCATAAAGATGAATTGGTTTTCATATGCGCAAATACATTCAAGGTATCTTATAGATTCTAAAGCGGAGGGATTTTATGATAAATTGACTGATTTAGACAGGATCTTGACAGGTACTGATGAAAAAATGATTAAAAAATTATACACTTTTTTGTTGGAAATTTTATTAGAGGAGGAACAAGTTAAAGAAACGATGATTGCTTGGGGGAAGAATTTTGGATATGGGATTGATTTGGAGAAATGGGAAAAATTGTGGTCTCAAAATTATAAAATGACAATGTCAACAACTTATAAAGAAAACTTGTATAAGATGTTTTACAGGTGGCATTTTCCCCCGACAAGAATTGCAAGAATGTTTAAGAACAAATCTGAAAAATGTTGGAAATGTCATCAGATACCTGGCTCATACTACCATATGTGGTGGACTTGTGAGGACGCTAGAAAATATTGGACTAAAATCCGCATATGGTTGGAAAAAATGATAAAGACACATATAGACTTGAAACCAGAGATTTTTTTATTGGGAATCTTACCTGATATATATAATAAAAATTTGAAGTATTTGATTGTAAATATATTAACAGCGGCTAGGATTGTATTTGCTAAGAACTGGAAGAGTGAGAAAATTCCATCAGAAGAAGAAATTATTAAGAAAATATTGGATTGTGCTGAAATGAGTAAATTGACATTTGAAATCAGAGAACAAGAAGATAATTTTATGAAGTTTGGGATCTTTTTTATCAATGGTTAGATAATAAAACATAATGATAAAATATTCGATTTAGCATAAAACATTTTTTCTTCTTCTTGATATTATCTTTATAAAACATTATCAAGGTAGATTTGGTATGATCTTATGATTTATTGCAAAATAAATTAAGCAAATTATAGTTATCTCGTTAAAATATGAATTAACAAAATTATAAATGATTTTTTTTTAGTGATGATATTAGGTTATACAATTATTGATTGATAATATGAGCTATTATGTAATATAATTATACTAGTGACTAGGAAATGGATGCACAAAAAAAAGTGGTAAACCAATCGATGCACTGTATGTAAATTTATGAAGAAGGATATTTTTATGTTTTTTGTGTTATGTTTATGTTTATTTTGTTATGTATGTTTATGCTTGTTATTAAAAAATAAATAAAAAATTATTTATAAAAAATAAATAAAACTATCTGTAGTAAGACATGCTGCTTAGGCCAGCATTTCTTTTTCAAAGGGCTTCTCAGAGGCAAACCACAGATCTATTCAAGTCTACTCCAGTTGCCTTCTACAATACAAAGGTTTCAGGGTGCAATATGCAATGAATAGGCTATTCCTCTGCTGTTTGTAGCTGACCAGAAAAGAATGTAAGAAGCAAATATTAATCCTTATTGCTTCTGCTTATTGTCAGCTTGTTAGAAAAGGGCAGGTGAACAGCTAGTATCTACTAAGGGGGAAAGAAATTGAGCCAGGAGATTGCATGAATTAGCAATGAGACCTCTGTTTTGGTATGAGCCTTTTAAAAAGCCAACATGTCACCTTCTCTTTTTGAAATTAGCTAGATTGGCTTTGACTTCCTGATTCAGGACACAGCTAGCCTTGACCTGCTTTTGGAACCTCATTTATGGCTATTATGTAGAGTCATTAGTAATATCCTTCCCTAGAAACCAAAGGCAACCACCAGCAGATTTGTGAAGGTATAAGCCTATTTAAAGTAGAAGTGATTTGCTACTGAAGCCAGGACACCAGTAAATGCTTGTCAGCCCAATAATTTTATAGCCGAGTTTTAAAAATGGTTACATTTTTATTTTAAAGTAAGGAAAACCAGTCAGATACTGGCATCTGCACTTCCTACTGACATAGCAACATCTGTTAAATATTTACTCTTGTACAAAACAAGTAGTTTTCACATTACTTCTTCATTAGCTACTAAGAAATGGAGAGGATGTTAACAGAACTAAGTGCAAAAAGGAATAGCAATAATTTTAGATGACTCGGCAGTTAATGCATTATTAACTGTTCCTACTCAATTGCAAAACACATAATTTTGCCTAGCTGAATTTTCAGCCCTCAGCCTGCACAACAGCCTAAATTTACACAAATCATACTGGGTGACCCTGGACTGGATGTGATTATTCAGAGATATTTTATCTTTGAACTGTCACCAAGATAAATATCTGGGAGCAGTACCATTATATTCTCATATTTTGAATGAAGAATAAAACAATTACAATTTTAAAAATATATTCCAATCATAACATATTTTGGCATGCATGGAAAGGAATCTGTAAAATAAGATGGGAGATGCTAAGGGTTAGTGATGAATGAGATGCCATGTGATAAGTGTTCTGGGAGAATTGCAAAGTTCTGCTATTGTGATATTGACTGTCCTTGGGAGTCACTTAGATCAGCAAAGACGCAGAATGATGAGGAAAAATGACTTGCTGGCTTGACAGACTGCAGGGCAAATCAAAGTAGTCAAGAAGCCCAGTCACAAAGACAGCAAGACTTGGGGGGTGGGTCGGTTGAAGGAGCAGATCAGCCCATCTTTACAAGACAGTGCTTGAAACACGAAATACAAGAAACAATGCTAGCAATGCCTGAACAGAAAGGAAAAGTCCTTTATTGTACACAGTACAGAACGTAATGCAGCTTTGCAGGAGATACATAAGCCCTGCTCAGGCAATAAACATTTCACATCAATCCTCAGATTAACTCTTTTTATTGTCGGGTTCCAAGTAATGCAATCATCAAAAAACGAACTCAGAGGCATTGCAATTCTACTAAATTCTGGCTTGACATTTGTACTATGTACTCCCAAACCAAATTAAAGAAATTGACAAACAAAAATAAAACAGCTAATTCCACTGGTTTGGTTCAGCCCTGAGGCAGAATTGGGATGGCAGCAGTCCTGTGCTTTGTGACAGGCCACCTGATACATTCTGGGGAGAGTTGCTGAGTCGTTTATAAAGAGTTTTAGAAAAAAAGGAAGTTAATCAAAAAAAACCCCAAGTTATCAAAGCAGAAAAAGGAATCCTATACAGCATTTACAATGAAACATGGAGTCGAGATGCATATTAGGCCAAGCACATTACTGGTACGTGCCAGCAAGGCTCACAGGAAAGAGCGGGGGGGGGGGGGGATTTCTGAAGGATCCAGAGAAGTTTTATAAATATATACATACATGTATGTATGTATACTGTACACACGTACACTGAGTAACTTGCCTTTCTCCCCATTCTCTAAATTTTTACAAAAAAGTTTTATGTCTTAAAATCGCCATTAGGCAACAAATATCTGAAAGCGTAACACAATTTAAGTGAAAAATACATCTGTTTACACATGCTTCATCTCTCTTACTTGCAAGTTCAGCAACAATTGGAAAAAAAACAGTTTAGCAATAGCCAGCCAGCCAGCAGTAGCGAGGTGAATGCTACCAAGGATCAAAATTGCTATTTTGGGAAAGTTCAGTGACTAGAGTTGCCTTGTATGGCAGACATGCTGTTCTCTAACAGATAAAAAGCCAAGCAACTCTCATTTGCTGTTTAGAAGGAACACATTTTTAATGCAGAGCAAGCTGTGTAAACGGTTTGGGGCAGCATCAAGTGCAGAGGCAGACAACAAAGCTGCATAGGGTAGGGCATGCATTTCAACTACTTCCTCCCAAGCTGCAGCACCTTTAGTATAAATGCTGCCAGAAGCAAGAAACTGTCTTTGACTAGGGAATAAAAAAGCCCAACCACCAAACATTTGAATTCAAAAGTTGCCCCTTAAACTTGGCAGTTTTGTGGCCATGCTTCCTTTTCCTGTGTCTAAAAGCAAACCATTCACATGCAGCCTTTCAGCAGAGAGGGTGGCCTGCTGGATTCAAAGGGTCTGCGTATTTTAAGTGCTGTCCTTTGGACTGCCTTTCTGAGATCAATAATAACCACAAAAGTAAGGAGAAAGACAACCAGAAGAAAAGGCTTTCTCAGATTGAAGAGTTCTGCACTGAGAATATAGGAAGAAGTGGCCAAGTTAGCTCCGACAAGTCAGCCATTCCACACTAAACCACCGCCTCCTCCAAAAAGGCTTTCGCAGCACTGGCTCATTTTCTCTGCAAATTAGAGCCCTTTCCCTTACACAAGGAAGAGTACAAAAAAAATAATGATTGTTACATAGCATTTTTTCTTGACAATTTGCTAATCAGAGTCCCTTGAAGTCCTGCAAGCAAGTACATCACACATGTTCCTAGCAACAGGATCCAGTGCCACCTGCCAAATGCTTTTCATGACTGCAGCCAAGGAATCGAGAATTGGATATCCTATTCACTAGTCATGTTATAGTCAGTTCTGAAGGATAGAGGACCTCAAAGTAATTTATCTTCTGATAATATCTGCAAGGAGCAGTTTTTATGAACAGAAATTCTTTATGAAAGTAATTTGCCCTTATTTATTGGAGCTGAAGCCTCCAATGTCAGTTGCTGAGCAAGTCAGTAAGCAAAGGCCTCAGCATATGGGAGGCTGCTGCATCGGTCCAGGTCAAGGAGGTATGCGGAATTATCTTCAAAATGTGTCAGAGGTAAGGTGTCATCTTCATTCACATGGCAGTCGGGTTCAGCTTTTAAAAATGGACGTTGATTGTCAGGGAAGGCCATGGAAAAAAGGGCATCAGGATCACAAACAAATTTATAGACGTATCGCTCTCCGGCCACCTGGGAAGAAAGAGAAGATCCTGTTAGAATACAGGTGAAGAATGCTGAGATGCGAAGTAACCAGCCTTGCTTAAGTTCCTTCCACCCTTTCCTCCCAAATAAATGTAAGCTAGTTGTCTGGAAAGACACCAAGGAACAGTGGGCTGGCGTAGTTCATTCAGTCAGGCAGACAGAATAGGAGTAAAGCTAATCCTAAAAAAAGGTCATCTTTATATCCAAGACTATTTCTATGTAACCACACTGTTCTGACAGTGTGAATAAAAAACTTCCTTACCTTTTGCATGATGCCTTTTTCATAGTAATAACGAAGAGAACGACTGAGCTTGTCATAGTTCATAGCTGGTCGATTTTTCTGAATCCCCCATCGACGAGCTACCTAAAAAGATAAAAAATGCAATTATGAAGCTGTTCAGAGTTTGCCAGTTCTAAGAATATCACTGAAAAGGATAAACCATAAGGCTGGGTGTCAAATGAAAAATGTATTTTGTTTAGAATCTGAAATGAACAGATTGTATCTTGGAAATTCTGCTGAACTAAGTAAGACCTGTAGCCTGTGGTTCAGCAGACCTAATCCAAAATATTTTGGTTGTTCTCGTTTTCAGCCAAGACAAAAACAGGAAGATTTTGTGAGGTAATATGAAAAGTTGTCTTGCCTTCCTCTTGCCTCTACTTCTGAATGATTTTTTTGATTATAGTCTATTTTCTGATCTTCTCAATACATGTCCCTAATTGGATCTTTGGTACCAAGTTTTTAAATAGAAAAAAATAGGACTGCCAATAATACTAACATATTCCAACTTATTTTGAGAGAAGACACCAGTTCTTAGAAAATATCTGACATAAGAATGATCACCCCAGCCCCCAAACTCCCACTCATGGACTGACAAGAGTCATACAGGATTTGGGATTTTATAGGCACTTCACTCAAATCTAGAATATACATTTCTCACAGTACTTAATCAGGGCTACATACAACCTGCCATAGATGCCCATATATAATTTTCAAGTCACATCCAAGTTACATGCTTAATTTTCCCACCCCACTCTAAACATATATTTCCCAACATGACTGTGGGAAGAAAGAAGATTTAGCTTTCATATCATTCATATCATTGATTCCTTTTTTACAGATATCAACTCCTCCTTTACCATTATATATTTTGCTTTACAAACTATTTTTCAAAGAAGATTAGTATTGCTAAATGGTGCACTTTATAACTAAGCACAAAGCAGTAAAGACCTACAGATATTGTTAAAATAAACTCAGCTTATTTCAGAGATGTAAAGTACCACATCTGCTCCTTGTGGTTTCTGAAAAGTCACTGAGAACTATCCCAATATCTTTGGCCAAGTCATAGAGTATTGACCAAAAAAGCCATTAGCACGACATCTTTATTGACTACATTTGAACCCACAGCTAGTCAGACATGACAGGAAACAATAGAAGAACAGAGAACCTAATGGGTTGCAACAACACTGATTAAATTCTAATACAACTATGCAGCAGTAATATAAAGGGGATTACTCATTTCAGCTCTTTGAGAGTGGGATCTGATGACATAATCTGGTTGCCAACCAACCTGCTGTTTCCCAGGGGATTTATGGAACAGACAATCAGTCAGCACTCAAGAAAAGATTAATAGGATTTCCAAGCATTAAGTGCACTAAGACAGCCTACGTTCACCTGAGGCATTGCAAAAGCCTAGAACAGCAATCTCAATCAAATACATAGAGTGTTTCCAATGACCTTAACAGCTCTACAGATAATTATGTTCATATGTAATTATGTACTGGTTAGATTATCTTTCTCCATCAGAGTAAAGATAAAATGATGAAAGAAAATTCAAGAGTGAATTAAATACATATATTATCAGAGAAAGCAGAATTTATTCACTGAACGCCCTGCATTATTGCAGTTACTGTAGATAGCAATTCATGTATCACCCACAATATACTTCCTTATCTACTGAAACATTTCAATTAAAGCCACAAGAAAAGGGACATTAGAAAGAAAAACTGGTTTGTATTTCACATATCTTTCTCTGCCCACCCCCATCCCAAACTTTACTATTGCTCATTCATATCCTAAAGGGGCAATTATAGTCAATACATTCAGTAGCACTGCAGTATCAAAGCAAAGGCAGACACGTTGTAGCATACATCCTCTTTTTTAAGCTTACAGGTTTAAGTTAAACTCTAAAGTTTCCAGATCTGAAGTTGGCTTGCCAAATTTTGCATGTTTAGATAAAAGCTTTTTGCATTGCAGATGCCACACACATCCAAGCACCCCTTTAGCAATTCTGACATGATCGTGTTCCAACACCAGACTCTTGACACTATCCATTTTAACAGTAATTTTATTAAAAAATATAATTACAAAATACAAAAATAAAAAATAGAAGGCGCAGAAACACAAAAAATAGAGGAACAGAAAATACTAAATAGAAATTTATAAAGATATGAATTTTCCCTTCATCACAACCAGTATAAACAATTTTAATAACTTATCACCTTCTATAATACAACAAATGATCTCTTCCCATATTCTATCTCTCTCATCTATAAACAAATCCTTAAAGTCTCATCATTTTACTGCTGATATCAGCAAATGTCCATGAAGGGATACCAGAGATCAGAATGTATTAAACTTTAATATCGATCAAATGAGCCAATTTTATAGCTATAGAGGCAGACACTGTTAAGATTATCTTCTGGGTTCATTGTTCAAAAACAGCCTTCAATATATCCAATGTTAAAGTATTTTACTCCATTCTGTGAAAGTCAAATTTAAGGGTTCTTCTCCTTTAATTGTAATCTTTAGTTCCTTCCTGTCCCCTCTAGTGTTCAACCTTCAAAAACCCATTCTATCATGTTTTTTTTTTAAAGAATTCGAATCAAAAGCATGTTCCCATGGGGTGGATTCTTATAATTAATTGCAAAACATTTTTTCAAATTTATCTGACCCTTATTGTCTATTTGCAACTTTCTAAAATCCAAATTTTAACTACCTTTTATTATTTATTATTTTTTAAATTAAGTCTTTAAACATGTAATTAATACCTCCTTCATGAAGGATTGAAGGAAACTCACCCAGTGCTGTAAACACTGTCAATTTAAAGGCTCCTAATTTCTGAAAGGCAGTTAACAAGCGATTTCCAAAAGTGATTAGAAAAGGAACTATGCAAACTTAGTGCTCTTTCAAAGGCACTGACTACAGTTTGAACAAGAGGGTCTAGGTCTCTAGGACAATTTATCACAGCAAACTCACCAGAGCCATTTCATTGAGGCTATCCTGGCATGACCATCTCACCGTGGGACAACTTAACACAATGTTATCTGCCATTATTTCTTCTTCATTATTTCTATTATTGCCAATGGAAATAATGTTGAAGAAACAGTGATGAATAACATTTGTCACTCTGAATTATCCCAAATGGACTGTCTTGTGGCGAGCTGAGCATGCTGAGATGGCCGTGCTGGATTGGCCACAAGATGGCTGCATTGAGTTGGCCGTGATGAGTTCTCCCATTCCATGAGCAAGATGGTTAGTTCTTCACCTCCCAGAGATCTAAACCCACCAGAAATCATTAATGTTGGTTAATGGTGTTCTTGTGGCACTGCAAATACCTTATACAGAGATTGTGGATGTTTTTCAGAAACAATGCCATATACCAGTGATGGCGAACCTTTTTGGCATAGAGTGCCCAAACAGGAACATGTGTGCATGTGCATGTATGTGCATGTGCCAAAAAACCAAAGATCAGCTGGCTGGTGTATGCATGCCCGTTTTTTGGCTGTTTCGGGGGCTATTTTCAGGGCCATTTTTGGCCTGAATACAGCCCCCCAAATGGCCTGTTTTTTTGGCCATTTGGGGGGCTGTTTTCAGGCCATTTTCAGGCCATTTTAGATTGTTTTAGGCCCAAAAATGACCCAAAAAATGGCCTGAAAAAAGCCCCCAAATGGCCCAAAATAAGATCTGTTTTTTGGCCAATTTTTTGGCCATTTTCCAGTGTTCCGGTGCGTGCGAAGGCTAGCTGGCCAGTGCTCATGTGCGTGCCAAAAACAGAGGAGCAACTGGCGATGGCATGTGTGCCCACTGAGAGGGCTCTGCGTACCACCTCTGGCATGTGTGCCATAGGTTTGTCATCACAGCCATATATAATATACATTTTGCTTGGTTCAACTGCAATTTTGTCTATTGAATGATATAATCATAATGGTGAGATAAGAGAAAAGTCTGAAATTGAAAGATAATTGAGCCAATTAAGAAAGGGAAATTCTTTTGGCAAATATCCAGAGCACTGCAACAACCAAATCAAGTGATTTTCTGCTTAACATATGCAGCAAAAGATGTGGAACTGACTTTCACCATCTCTTCTATATGTGACTTAAGATATTCTGGAGAAGACTGAATAAGTAGAGTCACATGAAGACAGAAATTGCTTTATTTGCAACTTTTCTTCCTGCTATTGCTGTGAGAACTATTCATTTGAAACTGAAAGATAGTTCTGAGCTAATAGTTACAGAACAGATAGATCTACTTATGCAGAATCATATTTATGCAGAATCAGTCTTATTGAGGTATAGTATTCCTTAGCAGTAAATAAAACATTCTGAGATACTGTAGGAATGCTAATAAAAGTTCTTTATTGCAGCAATGTGCAAGAGAAATCATAAATTCTGCAAAGGATAAAATATGTAGAAACGATCTCCATATCTACTTACTTTTTATGTTTCAATCAAATATAGCAGGCTTCCCCTGAAACGTGGGGAATATAAATGAATTGGCAAAAGACTTTGCAAGGTCCTTGGCAGAGATTCAACTTGGCCAATCTCTGATATTTGACTTATGATGGATACAACCGTAATGGTGATGTAGAGATTTTTTTTGTTTGTTTTTACCTCTTCTGGCTCGATTAGCTTGAATTCCATGCCCCTTCCAGTCCAAGCAATGAAATGAGCATTGGCTGGGTCATCCAGGAGTGTGACAAGAAACTGCCACAATTGGAGAGATCCTCTTCTTTGATAAGGAGGCCCTTCCCGATATACAGTGGGTTCTTGTTTCACTTTACCTGTTTGCAACAACACACATCAATTAGAATTAACATTTGAACATCTCCACCATTGGCTTCTAAAGATTCAGGGTTAGGGTTTCAATTTCAATGCTTCTACAGAAAGCCAAATGTATGGCTGCAAAGCTGACTAGCAATGGCTTTTTTTTTTTTTTTGCATATACTATGGTGAGGAGATATCTGTTAGAAGCTGAAGAGGAAATTTTTATGCAGCTGGTTACCAGCACTTTTTCTGTGTGGTGCATCATCAAAATAACAGAGAAAGCTTTAACAGCAAGGGGTCCTATCTTTCAGCAATTGTACCCATGATCTGTAGATTTGACATTCAAGATCTCCTTTAAAACAAATGGGATGTTTACTAGCTAAAAGAATGTGTTGGATTTGGGCAGCTATAACAAATTTGAATATTAATTCTTATTTTCAACTGCAGTTATAGATCACCACCCCACAGAGTGCCTTTACCTTCCATTCTTTCTGGTACAACACAAGTGTCATCAAAGTACAATTGGGCATCTTTCTCATAGGAGAATCCTGGGAAAAGAGAAGACATATTCAACAGGTGTGTTGCTGTGTACTTCTCTCTTACTCGCTTACACACACACACTCTCTCCTCTCTCTCTCTCAACACACACACACAAAGTAAGCACTTCCATTAAGAATAGTTTGATACAGGGCATCGCTTTGCTTGTTGGCAGCAATAATATTCAGCTGTTCACTAAAACTGAAAGGTAAGGCCTTGAATTTATTTGCAAATATGCCAGCTGCTATTTTTGCATCTCTAAAAGTCTGTCCAGAGTTGGCTTGTACATAGCTGGATTTGCATGTTGATGACAAAATGAAAATATAGAAAAGCCAAAGTACTTCCAAATCAAGTAGGCTTACAATACCTTGAGATTAAAGTACTTCCAATAGAGTGCATCACCTACATAGACTCTGCCAGTCCCCAGTCTGCTATTTAGACTGGGAGGAACAAACAGTACAATCCAATTCAGCAGAGCCCACTAGTGCTATAAAACATATTTATGGCTTAACATTTCCCTAAATCTCTTCCTACTAATTGAATGAACCTGAACCAAATCTGTGATTTCAATTAAGCTGTTCTGAAAAGTAGTAACCTTTGAAGTGCTCAGATTGTACTAAACTTGCCAAATACCTAAACTGCTAAAACTGAATCATTCCAAAGCTATGTGCAGATTTCTGTGGGATAACCTCTCCTACATATTTCCTGTATTGCTGGCCCAATTATGAGTAGTTAGACAACACTTTTTCTCTCCTCACACCCATCACTTCCCTTTCTCTCTTTATTTCTAAATTTGCTACCCCACTTTTTTTTCATTTTTTAAAAATAAAGTCAACATAAGAGCCCCCCTTATGTGGTTTCTTATGGTATGGGGGATGCTGCAGAAAGAAAATGTGTTTCTTAATTTTCTTCATTGCAGTTGCTTCTTTTACATGGCATCTCTCTCCCCCTCCCATCTAAACTGGAATTTTATGCATCCAAATATTTGTTGTGTGCTGTATAATAATGTATAAATCATCAGAAATGAATTCCAATTACAGTGACACATAAATATTATTTATTTATTAATTTGAACAATGCTTCTATTTCCCTAAGACCAGGAACAGTTGTTTTCTTCATTGAAAGCAAATCTATGTAATATCTCTAAAGTAAGCCTTAAAAGATTAATCACATTTATCTACCAGTAACAATGCATAACGAGTGGTGAGCAACATTCCCATTCTCTTAGTATCTGTATAATTATGTAGCATTCCTTATCCTATATTACACTGAATTATGCTTTGCGAGTATATAAATGTGGGTGGAGTTAATGGCTTACCATCATGGTTGTTGGGAAAGTATCCCCCTCCTGTAGCATATGCTGATTGGCAGTTAGGCACTTCTAAAAAAAAAAAATTAAAAAGAATTGAAGCCTGAGTAAATTCCAGAATAAACTATACACACTTCAATTCTTGTTCAAGTGAAGTAGTGGGCAGAAAAGGCTTCATGTATAAAAATGATAAATCTAAGCATTTCTACTCTAGTTAGAGAAATAATATTAAGCTTCATTGCCCAATTCCTATGCATTTTTCTGAATATAGCCTTCATCCAAGAAAAAGATACCCAGTTCCCCTGAAAATGCTGAAGTGCATATTTACTTGAAGGAAAGCCCAGCAGAAAGTTATATGGCGCATTTCAAATAAAAATGAATAGGACCACACAGTAACACTTCTGAAAGATATGAGAATCAAATAACTTCCAACCAAAAGAAATGGAATAAAGCAGCAGGATAGTCTGGCTTTGCAGATTACATCAGGCAACCTATGTGCCCAAATGAGTACATGTTAGATTCTGGTGAACCTTCCCTTAGATACTATTCAGATGAATACTTTAAAAAACTGTACGGCATCAGATATGTGTGAAATTTAAGCATGTTCTGAAAAGATCTTTCTCCTGTCATAGTATTTCCAACCCCAACCCCCAATATTACTAATCAGCTGTAGAAGTACACTAAGGTACAAATTATTGAGACTCTAACCAGGCTAATTGGTTTATTACATCACTTGGCTAACACAGAGAACATCTGAATGGCAGTATAGCACAAATAAATGTTTGGAAGCAATTCCTGTAATTAATAACTCATATTTTCTCAAAACCAATGTTAATATAATTCCCCTCTCAACTTTCACTTATTAACATTCCTTGGATGTCTGCAAACTCTTCAGATAAGCAAAGTTGTAACAAATATCCAAGCCAGGGATGTGAATATTTAATAGTGAAATCATTTTTCAAACACTGGTTTTCAACTTTCCATACATGAACAAGAAAAACAAATGAAGGTTTAAATACATGAAGCTGTTTTTATGAAGAATCAAACCATTGGATTTATCTACTGTAATACTAGTTTACTTTAATCAGTATTGGTTTTTCAAGCTGAAATCTTTCCTATTGCCTTCTATCTGATCCTTTCAATTAGAAATGCATTTTATGCACCTGAGGCATACATTAAAAACTGGACTATGTTCTTTCCCATAATACCTCCATATTTTCTGAGCCACAAAAGTTTAAGCCTCTAATGAGAAGTATTTGATCTTCCTCCCTTGGTGCTTAGTTTATTTACCTCCTGGGATATTCCAGTGAATCATGATGAATCAATATCTAAATAGAGAATACCTTGGATCTGTGAACAATAAATAATACAGTCCCTTGAAAATCAGGTGTGTCATATTATTCCTGGAAGTAGTAATGCAATCTGCCTCCCTACTGCAGCTGTCTTTCCCCAGAGGGCAAAGCCTCTTGCATCCCTTTTCAACAGCCCCTGGAAGAAATATTTATGAACCTGCAGAATAGATTGGCAAATGGTATTCAAAATACACATTTAAAAGATAGGCTTCATGTTTTGCATTCCACCTGACAACACATGAGAAGCAGGGAAAGAAGATAAAAAAATCCTTTAACTTTAGATCTTCTGCCATCTGTTCCACTTAGCTTCTAAGAGGTCTCGGTATTTTTAGACCTAAGGAGATTTGTAGCAATGTAGTTAGCTTTGCATCAGGAACAGCTGCAACTAACACCTAACCAGAATTCCTTCCCATCCCCTTGGCCCAAGGTGTGTTTAGAGGCAACCCAATGTCAGCTACAAGTTCAGAGATTTTCTATGGCAAACAGAAGATGGAAGAGCTTTTGCACACAAAAAGCCTGTCTGTTTTTCTCTCTTTGTAATGGCTTTTCAGAGTAAGTTTAAATCCTGCAACATTTGTAGAATGCCTCTTTTCACAAAATAGAAAAACATAGGCTTATATTCTAACTAGGTTAAATGCTGCTACAAATGGCAGCTTTTTTTTTCTATTTCACCAGAGAGATGGAGAGAAACTGTAAGGGAAAAATCCAATTTAGCAGATGGAGAAGCAGGTACAACTGTTTTTTCTATAGTTCTCTATATTATTTATAAATATGAATCTATAATAATTGGAACTGGCAATTCAGTTGTTAAGCAAAGTGGTTGCTAAATGAAACTGAGATTATGCTTACAATCTTACTTCACCTTTGCTTTACAGATGTGGAAAGGTTAGAAATGCAATAATTAGTTGCAAAGATACTTTTTCATTTTCATTGTAACTGTGAATGGTTCTTCAATGAGTCAGTCACTGAACAAGGACTATTGGCATCCCTGTTTTGCAAGAATGAGAGAAGCAGCAGCCACTGTACTCACTTTGAGGAGCTCTGGCATGTACCTTTCATTTTGTGGTATGCAGGCAACAATATTGCCTTGAAATATAATCTCTGTATTAGCAATCCTTATTTGTATTATTGAGATAACACTGTTGCAAAATAATGTATATCAAAGAAATGAATATGGTAAAAGAGAGAAGTAAAAGGTATCAAGATAATGAATACAGGATGGACGATTATTTTTTTTGCAGTGTCAAAGGTGAACCTTGAGGAAAAAGGAAAAGAAAGGAAAAGACAGAAGAACTAGGAAAGAACTAGGAAATACTGAATGAAATTTATTCAAATGTTAGAGTAACAAAATAAATGGAAGGTGGATGTAAGATAAAAGGATGTAGAAGCTATTTTGTACAGAATGAAAGTGTTTATAAGTGTCATAGAAATGTGCAGAGCTATGGTTATGGGAAGTATGAAAATGATTGCTTAATGAAATGATAAAATGAAAGATAATGTATAATGTGTACATAGAGAAATATGTGAAATGTCACCAGAGTTACCATAGAATGGTTAAAACGAAAATAGCACAAAACGCAACAAAATGATTTTGATTGATTTTTTTAAAAAAAAATCTGTAGGTGGTTAAAAAGGGCTAAACAACGAGCCCTCAGCAGAGTGAATGCAATTGAGAATAAAAGTGGTGAAATGATTTGGGATGAATCTAAAATGGGAGATAGTTTTAGATATGCAAATACTGGTAGAAAATGGTGGTGGGTGCCCCTGAGGAAGAAAAGTTGTCAATCCTTGCATTAATGGTGCAACATGGATTATTTTATACTATGTTAGACAGCTGCTGAACATCAGTGGTACAAAGACTGCTTTATGTGCTACAGACTAAGGACTAAGAACAAGTTTTAATCTTCACACAGCGTGGAGGAATTCAATTTTAACCCTCACCTGAATCAATACAGTAGTCCCTGGGCTCTTGCTTGATTCCCATTGGAGACTGGAATCCATGAGCTGGGGGGCCTGGAATACCTGGTACCCCATGATCATAGAGTGGGTCATGATACTCTTGCTTGAATCCCTGAGGAGGATGGGCAGTAGGAGGGACAAGGGGCTCTGACATCTGCCGGTGGTAAACAGGGCGGTTGTCTCCAGAAAGCCCTGGCTGAGGATATGGGTGGCAAGGTTCAGACATCTGTCTTTGAAACCTTGAGGAGAATGAACAAAAGAGAGAGAATTATCATTACGCTTAATCAGAATCTAGATCTACTGAAGTCTTACTTCTGATTTAATTTACCTACAGAGGAGTTTGATAGTGAGATGGGCAGCATCCAAATAAATAAAATCCTGGTAAACATGCGTGCACAATGCAATTTCAGCTGAGGCCCTTCATAGCCCCCTTCTGGTAATAAGAACTGGGTGCAACATAACAGTAGCTTGTTGTCATTGAAAGAAGAAGTGTTAAAATAGTAACATGACCAAATGGAGGACATATAATTTTGGCTTCCCATTTTGCAGGCAACCCTATCTTTGTATGTTATCTTTCTCAGTTGTAAATTTGACCTAACATTTATCATTTTTAAAACAAGCACACAACCCATTACATACATACACACGCACATATTTAATACATAAATGAAAGAGACGTGGTGGTGTGTAGTGGTTAGAATGCAGTACTGCAGGCTACTGACTGCTGGCTGACTGCAATTTGGCAGTTCGAATCTCACTAGGCTCAAGGTTGACTCAGCCTTCCATCCTTCTGAGGTAGGTAAAATGAGGATCCAAATTGTTGGGGGCAATATGCTGACTCTGTAAACTGCTTAGAGTGCTGTAAAGCACTGTAAGTGATATATAAGTCTAAGTGCTATTGCTATTAGCACAATAAAATATAGGGTATTTACAATGAAAGCTATATCCTAGTATAGAAAAGGCCTGTTGTAAGAGAGCCCTATATGAAAGGAAAAGGCCCCAATAAGGGACAGGAACTATATTTTTCAGTAATTAGGGCAAAGATGAATAAGATTTGCCAAGAAAATACTCTTTTATCTCAGAGTCAAACTATATAATATGATATAAGATATTGTTGGATTTTCAGTGTTTAATACTTATTTATTTACTTTAGTTGCCTCCCATCTTGTTTAAAAACAAAATCTGGGTGTCTAATGTTTGATAAAAAGCAGCTGAGTTGGATCAAAGTAGTAATATCAGGAGATACAACTAAATTCTCAGACAGTGTAAGGAAACAGAATCAAGAGAAATGAACTAACTTATCTGTAGCAAACATGACCATCTAGGCAAACATGTCTTCACTGAAAGGAACAAACAGCTTGTTTTTGCCAAAGGAACAGAAAGTGGTAAGTTTGACTTATATTTATTTCATTTCAACAAAGAATAGAATATAATAGAATAGAATAGAATAGTTGCTAATCTGTCTCAAAAACTAAGGAGTAAATGTTTTAGCCATCACTTGCTGCAAAAATCACGCATGATCCAAAATGCTTGTAGATTGTATGGAATACACAGAGGTTGCATCCACATGCACCAAAAATTATTTTTATTATTTGCAAATATAACCAGATGCTTCATAAAGCAAAACGCTGGCCTTAAAAAAAAGTAATGTTAGAACTTATGTTTTTGCAAAAAATATGTTCAGCAACTGCTATCTTGGTTTTCAGGAATCTGGGTGAACCTTAGTGGAGACTAAACAAATACGCAACCAAAATCCCAATATTCTTAGTTTTGAAGTCCTGGAGGCCACAGCAGTAAACTAGTCATATCCCTTCACATCCTTGCACCTTGAAAAGTGATTGTGATCAATCAATTTGTTTCCCATGCCTCCAGAGGCACATGACCTTAATTTAGCTTTGAAATATGACCTACTGCAGCTGACAAGCCCAGATTATGCTACTTCCGATCTGTGTCCTTCTAACCTTCTCAAATGTAACTCTAGAACTGCACTGGTATGCTTTCTGCAGGAAGAGGAACTTCCAGATGGAATCATGCCGAATAGCTTTAAGGTCATTGGGAACTCAGGGACTGGGAGATATGGATGGCAGTCTTAAAAGCAACCTGAGGTCCTGGCAATAGAGAGGAACCAAGTGTATTTCAGGAACTTGGATGAAGATTTGTCGTAAATATGAAAATATTTTTTTCTGGAAGTAATCCCATCTTGTTAAGCTTTAACCTGTCTTGTCTTTCAATCACGTGTTAGCCTAGAGTATTTTCAAAGCACAGCCTCATATTTGGGTAAGAACATCCAGGTCTGAATCATTGAAATTGTTAAGCAGACCCAAGTGAAAAAAATAGGGTAAATTTCATGAAAAATCCAACAATGGTAAATGTCACTATGGTTGTTAGTATTAATATGTCTTGACAAACAAGACATAATATTTGAAATTATTTCAGTCTGTTTGATTATCATTCTAAAATGGTGAAGCCTCTTGAAAGTTTCACAGAAGGGCAGGCTATAAAAACATGTGACATATTTCAAGTAGGAAGATTCAAATATTGACCAGTAAATATTTTATAAGATCAAGATCATATTTCCCTCTGATAGTTCTAAATAAAATCAAGTAATAAATGTAGTAAATTACATGTAAAACAATGTGTATAGTGAAGAAAAAGGCCAAGGGCCATTGATTAAAATGATGTATTCAGAATGTCAGCCACTTAACTCTTTAACAACATCAGTCTCTATATACTGTCCAAGAAATAGCTGGCTTCCTTAACTACTGAACAAGGAAAAGAAAATATGAAACATTGATCTGAATTTTGAACGGTTGATTCCACTTTAGGTATATTTCCCAACTTAAACGAACCACAATGAACATTCTCAAACAACCAGAGAACACAAAAATTAAGATGTGTGCATTCTCATAGTAAAAGATTTCTGGTAATAATCTGGGTTTTTGGGCAGATGTATCAAACGAATGATACACTTTCAGCAACGCCAACAGATCAGAACTTGAGAAGTTCAGCTTCACTTTCACACTCAACCTGAGCACCTCACTGAGTAATTTCAACCAATTTACCCTCTCACAGCCTAGCCTGCCTCACAGAATTGTTGTGGGACAAACAGGACAAGAGAATGTGAGGAAGATGATATGACTCTCTCACACACATATAGACACACCATTTTGAACACAAGAAATGGGATATAGAACTAACAAATAAAATATACTCTCTGTCAGATCCTCTGAACAAGACAAAGGCCTCTGAACAAGACAAATGTTCTTCAAGTGTGGGGGGGAAAGCCCCCACCCTCTTTACCTGTGTTCTGTTGGATACTGGTTTTCAGGCATTATCTTTGGCATCTGGATAGGCTGATGAGGTGGTCGAGGTATAGCAAAGGGTTGCTGCCTTGGTTCCTGAAGAGGATGAGAGGCGGGAGGAGGGGCACCCTGCAAAGGGCCTGCTGGGCTGACATGTGCAGGAGTCTGCACAGGTGTGGCGGGCAGAGGTGGAGGAGGAAGGGCGCTGCTCTGAAGCGCAGGTGAAACTGGGGTAGTGGGTGGAGTTAATGGCTTGAACCCAGTGGGGGGCTTCCTATCATAGGCACTGTTCAGAGAGCAGAGAAAAAAAAAAAAGAAAAGAAGCACAATTTAAAACAGGCAGGAACCATTTACTCAGCTTCAACTTCAAGTCCTTGACAGTTCGGGTTTGTTTGCATTTCATGGTTGTCAGGAAGTAACAGTTAAGGCCAATCACAGGCCCAAGGGAATCTTTGTACTGCAAGCAAACGACAAACAGGCTGAGTCATAGGGCTCATTTTAAAACACTTTTCTCATAATTTTCTCAAGCATAATTGTAGCTTCCGATTGTGTGCTTTCTCTTCTTTCCTACGAAAGTGCTTTCCCTCTCCCTTTGTCCCCACCTCGAATAATTAAGAACCAATTCTAATCAGGAGAGCAAACCAATCATTGTGCAGGTTGCCCTGGTGCAATTCCCCCCCCCATAAGTGTGCCTCATATACACTTGTGTGAAAGTCTTGCAATAAATAAATAAAGGCAATTTAAATGTGTGGCAATGTACAGAGCCGTTGCTATCTGTATGAACAAGAGTGCTAGATAAAACAGCTATTAAATCAGTAAATATCAAAATTATTTATTGGGTTATAGCAGTTCTCCCTAACTTAATGGCTTTTAGAAGTGTTTAATGCTACTTTAGCAGCTGCCACTCTAACATACTTGAAAAGCACTAAGTTGGAGAAAGCTATTTTAGAATATCAGAAGCACCATGTTAGAACTTACAATGATTTGGGGGTGGATGATGTTCGGAAAAAAAAAAGCATGGGGTTAGCAAGATAAACAATTCAGGATACAGAACAGAATTGTTACTATCCCCCCCCCCCAATCAAAACAGCTTCAAGCTATCTGATTTGAGTTATACTGCATTGGAAGAAATCACGAAGGCCACAGTAATCGGAATCTATGTCCAGTGCCTTGCAGCTGAGCATAGGCACTAATATCAAGTTTCAAATAGCTTTCCAGGTAAATAATTAAGCTTGTAAGGCTTCAGGAGCAGCTCCCCTGAGAGGTGACTTGTCTTGGCATAACTTGCCAAAGTAATGGTTTCATTTTGCAAGACTAAAAGATTTAACTCTATTGTTTGCACATTTCCCCACAGAAATCAACTAACTAAATGTTAAAACAAAGTTATAATAATTATCCTTCAATTATCCAAGCATACAAAAAATGCTATCATGGGGACGTCTTGCCAAAGCAGTACTAAAACCATTTTTTATTCTTCTGTTTTCCTGGTCCAACCCTCCTTCAAGTGTTTTTAATCAATTCTTGATTAAACTGTTGATGTAATCGATTAATATTTTTAATCAATGGATAGAATTTCTTTGATTATTCAAATGGGTCTGATTCAGTTTCTAGAAACTCCCAATCATTTAATAGTGCTTTTGCAAACTGATTCTACATACCAATAATTGTAGAGGCACTTTTCTCCATAGTTAGCACAGAGCACCTGCTCATGACTACAGGTAGACAGCTCTGAAGATGGGCTGTGCAGTTCTCTCTTAATCTTAGCTGGTGGTGGCCCATGAAGTACCACTGGATTAAAAACAATGGAAGAGAATCAATGCATGTGTCATAAACCAGATACATGATTTATAACTTAAATTCCTGTAGATATTTATTATACACAGACAACCAGATGTTACTTATAGATCCTGAGTGACAGTATATATAATACATCTTTACTTTAAAATGTTACTGAATCTTACAGGAATGCACATTTTAGTTTCTATAATTATGTATTGTCCATATGGGTACTTTATAAATGATATACAATTTCTTCATGTTAATATCCAGAAAAGAAAAAATTAAGTGCTGAGTAGCAGCAAACAGAACTAGTTGCAGCAGCAATATGAAAGGAAGTGGTGGAAAAAATAAGGCTACTAATGAGAATTGGGTTGGCAATTGTCCAGAAAAAGAAAGATTTTTGATTTCTCATTCCTAGAGTTAGATCTGATATTGTCTAAACAAGAAGGAAAACGAAGAGCACAAAATTGTGAACATAAGGGAATTATATCAATCCAGCTTCCCAACACAAAGCATAAAACTGAGTACTATTAGAATATAACACCATGCTTGACTGCAGCTGAATATTGAACAAAAAATCAATACTGGAAAACAAAGAATGGAATAAACACACTTTGAATTATTTATGCAGTTGAAATATTAAACTCTAACCCCAACTTAATGAAAAGGAAAATATGTTAAATCCATGAATTCTAGTATTCATAATTAATACTTTGTAGTTACACAGATTTCTGATATCACTATAGGTATGTATGCATACATTTATTTAAAAAAAATCATATGGCTGCCTATTTCACAGAAGATGACTGGGTGGCATACAACCAACAATTAAAACAATGTCACAGCTGTTTAAAACTAAAATAAAATAAAATAAAAACAAGATGGTGGGAGAAGTACTTTCAATTAAACACAGTATAACCATTGCACAGGGTGCCCTGAATGCAATAAAACTCTGCACCTTGAATCTGTCTTTATGCTGATGTAACAAAATACTGTGCCAGGAGACCTAACTGATTTGAGCAAGTGCCCATCCTTGTTTGCCACTAAAAGGAAAAAAGATAAGGTATCCTGACATTCCCACATACTTTGGAGAGGGAATCATTTTTCACAGCATTGACATTTCTAAGCAAGATTTGACAAGAAGGACTATCTATCTATGCCAAGGCTGGGAGATCAATTTCAAAGTAGGAAATGACCTCATTAGGAAGAAACACCTTGCTTCAATACTAGTCATGACAACTCCCAGCTTAACTGGCTCTAAAAATACACAGCTCTGAATTCAACAAAAGCTTCCACGGGATCAGGTTTTTTGAAACGTACTTTGAGCATACAGATCACTGTACAGACAGTGGTATCTTTGTATTATTTTACAAGACAGTTTGAGCACCAATACAAGTTGCATAAAAGGAGTTTGTTTATACTAAAACTGGATCAACAAAAAGCAAGCCATGCTAAAATCTACCATGATGGTTAGAAACCAGGATTATGTGGATTCAGTAACACTGCCAAGTCAAACTGGCAAGTTCCATACTGTTTGTAGCAAAGCCTCTGTCAACCTAACATAGGAGATAATTTGTTTTCATAGGGGGATTAGATTCTTTATTTTAGCCGATGGCTACTTTAACAATGTATTGATGACTATATTAAACATATTGTTGTTCTATTGGTGCTTGCTTTCCTCTACTTATTTTCTGTAGCATAGCAGATGCTCCTATTGGGATGAGATCATCTATCTGGGTATACCAATAAGAGAATAGATAACTTTTACAGTATGTTTCTTTCATGTTTAGCTCTTTTAAATACAGATTTTTACTGGGCTTTTTTTTTAAACATTCCCAGTTAGGCAAGTGTACTGTATGCTTAAAGAAATGTAAACTGGATCATGTATACAGTCACAATCCATGCCTGGAAGATGTTTTTTGAAGCCACATAGATTGCAGAATTTGATATTATGTAGCTTTATTCATGAGGTGCCAGTGAATACATCACACTTCCTAAAAGTGCTATTCTCCAGACATTTTGAACTTCAGTTCTCATCAGTCTTAGTTATTAAGAAACTCAACCCAAATCCCCTGGAAAACATCAGATTTGCCATCATGTTGGATAAGAAATTGTTGATTTAGAATTGCAGGTCAGCATAAGTAATTTGACTCTAAGATAGAATAACAGCCTTTTTGTTTCAAGGAAGCATCTTGAGTGCAATCTTTTAAGCTACAATACAAAACAAGATGGAAAAGGAACATGCCCAGTTAGACTGATGCCATAAATTAGCAGAGGACATGAGTCTTGCCTGTTTCTTCTCAATACAAGTTAGCATTTGGCAAGCACCCATGGAAAGAAATGCACACAACATCTCTGACTATTCATCATTTATATGCTGATCAGCTGTACTCTGCCATTTAAGTACAACTGGGATATGTTTATGCACCAATCTGAACACACCCTGAAAAACTGGTGTTAAATGTGGAGGACCAAAGAAGGCATTTCAAGGATTGACCATTGCTTGAATCATAGCAAAGGGTTAAACTATATTTAGGGCCATGGGGAAGGGAAGGTTGCCAGGGAGAACAGTCTAATGCAGTTACTTCTATACCAATATTATCAAAGTAACTCAAGAGAATACCCATTTGTACAACCCAAGATTCAGCTGGGCTATCACATACCTGTTCCCTAGCACTTGCTGCATTATGATTCCAATACCTGCTTTCAATCTTAGTGGCTGTCCTCATTTCATACTAGAGCTAATTATCCTTACAGGAACTTGTCCTCAATGCTCCCCGCACCTTTGGAGAACAGCTACATGGCAGATTTATCGTGGTACTGGAAAAAGCCTCAAGCCAAGAATGAGTTGATCAAGCATCTAGCTGGATACATTTCAAAGTGGAACTAATGCTGTTTTTCCCCTCACAAGAAAAATGTTTTACCTGAAATGTTGGTTCAGCAAAAGGGAAAAGAAAGAAATTACATAGCACCGGTGTAGTATTCAGTCTATTAAACCACCTAACTCAGGACTGTATATATGGAATGGGTTGACATGTTACACTACTACACAACATTATTTACTTCTGACTGTGGATTGTGTAAACACAGATAATATGGTTTATAAAATATGAGTTGTGGTTTGCCTCAAGTTGTAGCCTGAACAGTTTTGTTTTATTAAATATACCATTGTTAAGTAATATTTAACATGGGAGGCAAGGTTATAATTTTGGAGTGGCACTAAGGGCCACTGGAAGAGAGGAGATGGCAAAGCTGTAGGAGGCAAGACTGAGATTTTTTTGGCCTTCTTTCAAAGATTGCTTTTGAAAATTAAAACAGATAGGTTAATCTATTGGACAATTGCCCATGTCAGTTCTAATTTGGAGAAAAAAGCAACAAATCATCCCTGTCCTCCCCCCCCTGCTGAATTTTAGTGGCACAATTTGGGAAGACACAGAAAAGGCAACAAAGACCCTTGGAACTTGCACATAATCTCTGAATTATGGGTTCAAGGAACTCTAGCTCAGCACAATGTGTGAACCAAGTCCCTGAATGTTAGCTGACCTTCAAATACTCTGATAAGGGTTCTCTTCCCAGCCCATCTAGAACTGCAAGAAATTAAACCTGGAACCTGGTGCATGCAATATTTGTAAACCATATCTGAATTATCCAGATGTTTAGAGCATTTGGAAAAAAAGTATATTCAATTTTTATATTTTGGAAGCACACTTTCCTACTTCAATTATTCAATCTCTAAATAACATGAAAGCTAGCAAGTCCTGGACTTAGTTTGAAACCTTCAAAGAAAGCACATTCCAACTTTCATTCCTTCTATAAATTTCTTTAGGAAAATTTCAAATTATGTGAGAAAAGAACATATAGTTTATTTATTTGGTATTATTTTAATCTATTTTAGCATTAATGGAGTCTGGGTGTGGTAAAAGAAATACAAATACAGAAACAAAAGTAAATTCTTAATGTAAACAGTACAATTAAAGTCCATATCATTAAAAGTCAATAGCAACTAAATTATTCTCTGAGCACAGTAAACAATGGAAGTAAACAAGATAAAAGTCATTTCAAATAGTAAAGGCATTACAAGGATCCATGTTCCAAGTAATTCAAAAAGAGGAGGAACTTGCAATAGGCTCATTTTTAATGACTAAATGGGTTCACTTTTGGTAACACTTAAAATGTGTATGTACATATATAGACATACACATGTACCATTATCCTACTATTAGTCCGTGAAGCTCTGATACCCTTAACTTTTAAAACAATCAATACATATTTAACATAATTTCTAGGAGACATTTAAGGAAAAGGCATATGCATCAGAATTTTCTACCTAAATAGTGACTGAACAAAACAGCTTTACTTAGCCAGAAGTGGAGTATTATCCACCCCCCATCCCCTAAGACTAAGTACACAGCTACTGCACCATGAGGAGGTTGCCCGGATGTGACAGCTTTCGGCCATCACTAAACAATTAGTAGTCTTGTCTTTGCAAGAGATTTAGAAACACTGACTCCTGCATTGTGGATCACTTCTGAGGAATGAATCTGAGAAACAGAAGTGGGATCTATCCAAATAATTAATTATGTAGGAAGACAAAATAGGAGATCTCAGAGCTTCTTGGCATACAATACTTCTCAAGGGCAAAATTAAGACCAGAATTCATTTTCAAGGAAAGGCTCCAGCTACCTTTTGTCTCCCACCAATTCAAGATAATTAAAATGTGCTTTTTTTAAAAAAGAACTACTGTACATGTCTCTAGTCACTACTCATATTGGCTGTCTTCTGGTATTTCAAGTGTTAATTTTTTCCCCTTAAAATTTCCCTCTCCCCTCTCCCAACCCTCTTCCTATTAGGCAGGGCCTTGCTAAACAGCAGGAAACTCACATTGGAGGTGTTCCAGCTGTCAGTCACAAGCATGTTTCTTTCCAACAATCTCTGTGTTGTTTGAACTGTTGTTTTTCTGCCAGCAGCACAATGGAGCTTAGTTATTCATTGAAGGAGGAGGGGGGGGA